AAGGCGCGGAGGGCAGCCCGGCCCGCCGAGTAGCGAGGCCGAACGAGACGCGTCTGGTCTGGCTCAGCCCTCGCTTGCTGGGTGACTCGGACGAGCAATTGCCCTTCGGGGACTCAGTTTCCCCTGCCAGATGAGGCCGACGACAGCGGCTCCCGCGAGAACTCGCGCGGAAACGAGAGCCGTGGGATCCGCACAGCGCCTAGACGCGTAGGCCGCAGCCACCGCCAGGCGGGAAGGCCGCGCTCGCGCCTCCAGGGCGGCCCTGGAACCCTTCTCACCTCAGACTCGGGATCCAGGACTCTCTCACCTCACGGCCCCTCCTCCCACAGTGGGCCGCCCAGCCTCAGCCGCCCTCACTTCCGCTGACCCGCCCCCCGGAAGCGATCCTTTGCCGCTGCGCACGGAGCCGCGCCTCCTCTGGAGGCGGGCCTAGCTCTGATGGGCGGGGCTCTGGCGACGGCACGCCCTGATCCCGAGGGAGGCCACGCCCCTTTCCGGGTATCCTGCCCGCGGTCCGCGCTCTCGGGAAGCTGACTGCGCTTGGAGATCCTTGAGTCCGGATTCGTGGCGTCCCCTTCTCGTTGCTCTCCACGTTTAGTGCCATCCGACCTCTGGAAGCCGAGGACCGACTGTGGAGCCGCTCGGCCCCTAAAATATGCGGTGTCGCTGCCCCCACCCCCAGTGCAAACTTAGGAATCCTCACCCTGGCATTCAAGCCTCGGAATCCGGCGCTGACCTTGCCTCGTCTTGCCCTGGTCGCCTTCAACGTTCATGCTTCCCAGGCAAGGCCCTCTACAAAGTCTTTCGTCAGCACTGATGGGCAGAACGAGCTCTTTTCTCCTCTGACTCCTGCCCTCCAGCGCTTTGTAGCTTTTTTTTTTTTTTTATTTTAGCGCCTCTCTCTCTCGCAGACACACGAAAACACAAGGCATATTCAGTGAGTTTGCTGGGTAGATGGCTAGATTGATGGGCAAAACGCCAGGGCACTGTGGGAGAGAGACACATTCCTTCCAGGATCATTAAGCCACACCCTCTTTGTGCTCAGACCTTTCACTGTCCCATCTCCGTGGCATCTAGCTCCTGGGTCACATTTCCTCTTCTGTGCCTGGCTCCCAGGCTGCAGTTCCTTGGTCCCAAAGCCTGTAATCCCCATCTGCCAGAGACAGGGCGGGCTTCATGGGTGAACCGCCCCTACAATCACAAGGGTCCCCATCCTCAGAACAACCCTTACTTGGTTTAATGGTCTGCTGTTGCCCTCTTGAAGTTATTAATTTTCTAACAAGGAGTCCTGCATTTTCATTTTTTACTGGGCCCTGCAAATTATACCAGAGACCTCAGATGTCCACCCTGATCCCCACCATACTGCACGTTATGAAGACTGACTTCCGGGTCCAGCTCATTTTTCAAGGATCGCAAATTGTGATTTTTTTTAATTATTAATTTTTGAGTCAGAGTCTCACTGTTACCCAGGTTGGAGTGCTCACTACAGCCTCCAACTTCTGGGCTCAAGCAATCCTCTGGCATTAGCCTCCTGAGGTGTGCACCACCACACCCAGCTAACCTTTTTGGAAGACAGGAGGTCTCCCTCTGTTGAGGATCTCAAACTCCTGGGCTCAAGCAAGCTTCTTGCCTCTGCCTCTGCCTCTGCCTCACTTTGTGCTGGGATCATAGGCCCAAATTGTGTTTTAATCACTACTTCCCATCCTGGGCAATGGCAGATCATGCAAATCCATATTAGCACTCTCTCCTGGGTGTAGTTTATCCCCTAGAGCCCTGCCCTTGTGAATCAGGCCAAGGCTAGGCTGAGACTCTATCCTTGCTCAGTAGTTTCCTTTTACTCTTCTGCATTCTTTTTAAATCGAGGTCTCACTCTCTGTCACCCAGGCTGGAGTGTGTGGGCGCAATCATGGGTCACCATAGCCTTGACCTGGGCTCAGGTGATTCTTCTGATTCAGCCTCCTGGGTAGCTGGGACTATAGGGGTGTGCCATCGCCCCAGCTGATTTTTTTTTTTTTAAGCAGGATTTATTGAGAGGACAGAAAAGGCCCCACTGTGGGAGGGGACCTGAGAGGATTGCCCCCACCTGATTTTTTTTTTTTTTTGAGTTGGAGTCCCACCCAAGGCCAAGGAGGCCAAGGCAAGTGAATTGCCTGAGCCCATGGGTTCCAGACCAGCTCAGGCAACTTGGTGAGACCTCATCTCTACAATAAATAAAAAATTAACCAGGTGTGGTAGCACGTTCCTGTAGTGCTGGCTACTTGGAAGGCTGAGGTGGAAGGATCGCCTGAGCCCAGCAGGTCGATGCTGGGGTGACCGTGAGTGTGTCACTACACTCCAGCCTGAGCGACAGAGACTCCAACTCAAAAAAAATGAAGTACACGTCCTCA